CTGTCCCGGGCACTCTCGGGGTCCCCTCCCTGCGCCCCGCTGTCCCGGGCACTCTCGGGGTCCTCTCTCCGGGCCCCGCTGTCCCGGGCACTCTCGGGGTCCCCTCTCCGCGCCCCGCTGTCCCGGGCACTCTCGGGGTCCCCTCCCTGCGCCCCGCTCTCCCGGGCACTCTCGGGGTCCTCTCTCCGGGCCCCGCTGTCCCGGGCACTCTCGGGGTCCTCTCTCCGCGCCCCGCTCTCCCGGGCACTCTCGGGGTCCCCTCCCCGCGCCCCGCTGTCCCGGGCACCCCGGAACTCCCGTCCGTCCGTCGGTGCTCCCCGCCGCCGCCGGTCCGGGTCCCTTCCAGGCGCGGGCTGTCCGTCAGCACCGGGCGCCCGCGTGCTCGCCTTCGCCGGTACCGGGCGCCCCGCGTTCTCACCTCAGCCCCGCTGTCACCGCTCCCGGGCCCCGCGTCGCCGCCGTCGCTTCCTCCTCACACTTGCTCCGAGTCGCTGTCGCGCGGCTGTTTCCCCGGAGGACGCCCGGCTCGGGTCTCCCGGTGCCGGACCCCGCGTCGCGCAGCCTCCGCCCGGGACCTCGCGTCGCGCCCCGGCACTCCTCACAGGACCCCGCCGCCCGGGGCCACACGGACCTCCGCGCCGCCGCTGCCGCCGCCGCTGCTGTCCGAGGTGCGGCGCCTGCCAGGGGTGGCCAATCGCACCCGACCGCGCCGAGCGCGCCCCGCCCCATCGCCTCCTTACGCCCGCCCCCTGCCCCGGCCACGCCCCTGCTCGGCTCCGATAGGCTTTCTACTGACCTTCCCTGATCGCCGGGCCTGGGGCCGAGGCCGGATATAGGTATTGGATTGGAAGTGCCTTGGGCAGCCGAGAGGTCGATGGAGGCTGAGGATTGGTGGAGCTTACGATGGGCGGGAACTGAGGGGGCGGAGCTTTCTCAGACACGGAAGACCTTGCAATGTCCAAGTTACCCGCTGTCGGGGCTGGGGTGCGGTCAGTGTTGTTTGTGCTGCTCAGAGGTCAAAGTTCACGGCACTCCTCCCCACGCCTTTGCTTTTCTGGGGAGACTCCCTGAGACCACGGAGAGGGACAGGGAGAGAGGGAGGGGGGGATGGAGAGGAGGAGAGCCAGAGCGCCAGGTGACCGTGCCACAACTTCCTCAGTAGTTCCATCCTAAATCAACAGTATCATGTATTCGCCTAGGACTTGGGGTGAATAAGTCCTTGTATCTCTGGCTGGGAGGCTGCTTTCACGGACAGCAGTTTACAGCTGTTAGAAAAAAGAACGGATGTCTCTGTGCTGGGGGCATACACCAACGTTCAAGCCTGGTTTTAGGAAATACCCATTTTGTGGGTGTTGATGACAGCAGAGACTGGAGGAACCCTCTTTGGCTGTCGTTCAATAAGCCAGGGCTACAGGTTTTAATGATCCTGCCTGAGCCAAAGGCCAAAGGCCAGTGAGCTTTGACCCCGAGGTAACCAGTGATAGGGAAGAACCGAGTTAACCCCAGCTGAAACATAGTGTCTGCCGGGGAGGGGGGGTGGAGAGCGGGGGTTGGTCACTCAACAGCATGCTTAATACTTCCAGGCAACCGGATAATGCTCATTAAATTAACACCAAGTACCAGGAAAACACCTTGAATACCTAAATTCCAAAGCAAGTTTATGGTCTTGGACCATTTAGCGTTTTTAATGAAAGAAATTGTTTCAATTCAGGAACAACACATTATGATCCTAACCTGACGGGTTATGTCGATGGGGCCTTTAGCTCTCAGAAAACCTTCCATCATTCATTTTCTTTTAAACCCCTACAGACAAAAAAAAAAAAAAAATTGTTCTAGCCCTGCGCCGGTGGCTCACGCCTGTGATCCTAGCTACTCAGGAGGCTGAGATCTGAGGATCGCAGTTCAAAGCCAGCCCGGGCAGGAAAGGCAGTGAGACCCTTATCTCCAATTAACCACCAGAAAACCGGAAGTGGCGCTGTGGCTCATGTGGTAGAGCGCTCGCCTTGAGCTGAAGGGCTGAGGGACAGCGCCCAGGTCCAGAGTTTAAGCTCCACAAATGGAAAAAAAAATTGTTCTAATTGGTATACACGTTTCTCCTAGTGCTTTTGAAAATATATACCATTCCAATGACAATGGCTCCCTTTAAATAAAGTGTTGGAACATGAGGAAGTGCACAGACTGCAGAGGTTCTGGAAGACGCTGAAGGAGAGCTGGCAGGACTTCGGTTTCAGTTCAGTCTAATGTCAACCTCTTCTGAGCACTGAGTCTGGGAGGAAGGTATAGGAAGATTTCAAACTGGTAAAACGATTTTGAGGGAACTGGACTCTTAAAGGCTGAAGGAGACTACAAAATCATATTAAACCATTATGCACGGGCAAGAATAAAGTAATGCGGTTTTTTTTTTTAAAGTAAGACCCTTCTTCTCTAAAGAGCAGTTAAGAGTCAGTTAAGAGCTCATCCTAATAGTTCTGCAGAAACAGGAAAAAAGAATGGATAAACTCATCACCCAAGAATCTAATTGTATCTCTGAATTACATATGAAAAAAGGAATTCATGACCATTTGCAGATGCTGTTTGCAATTAAGAAGCTAGATATAGAAATAAAACAAGTAATATATTTATTTAAAAAAACCTGCATTCTTGAAAACATTTAGCAGCAAAATCAACTTTTTGAAAGTTCAACCAGTTCTGACTGTGTGTGTGTGTGTGTGTGTGTGTGTGTGTATGTGTGTTGCTTGACAGTGCCCAGGCACTGTCCCTGAGCTCAAGTCTGACATTCAATCACTTTAGTCACAGCTGCACTTCTGGCTTTTTGGTGGTAAATTGAAGATGAGAATTTTTTTTGTTTTTGGGTCCAGTCGTGGGGCCTGAACTCTGGGCCTGGGCGCTGTCCCTCAGCTCTTCAGCTCAAGGCTAGCTCTCTACCATTTGAGCCACAGCGCCACTTCTGGCTTTTTTTTTTTCTGCTTATGTGGTGCTGAGGAATCGAACCCAGAGCCTCATGCATGCAAGGCAAGCGCTTTACCACTGAGCCACCTTCCCAGCTAGAGATGAGAATCTTATAGTCTTTCCTGCCATGACTGGCTTCTAACCTCAGTACTCAGATCTCAGTCTACTAAGTAGTTAGGAATATAGACAGACATAAGCCATTGGCTCCTGGCTTTTTTTTTTTTTCTTTTCTATGTTATGAATAAATTCACTGATCGGAACCTAAGTTGTCCAATGTAACTGATTACAAGAAATGTAGATGTGATCCAATAGCACAAGAAAAGAAAATGACTTCATCTGTTGGATGAGGGACAGTTCTGGAATCCTACTTTTAAATATAGACTTCAGATCTACACTGAGCTTTGAAAGCTATTCGTATTTAGGAGCTTCAGATCTTGAAACTCCTGGAATGCCATCTTACATTCCACTCTGGAAATTCTTATGTTTCACTGGGAGGAAATAATCCTCACGAATGAAGCCAAAATTTAAATTAAAACAAGGTAGTATATGTGAAATGTCTTAAAAATAAATGGGACAATAGTTTCTCACTTTTAAAGGCTCCATGGGGGCTAGTGTAGAGATAAATTTAATCACAAAGTATCTGAGAGTGAGAATATTATACCGGGTTCCAAACTGGCTTTTAACATCTATGTTCAGTTTTGCTGTTTCTTACCCGCCCCCTCCCCTGCCCCTTGGATTTACTGGGGTTTCAACCTAAGGCCTCATACTTGCTAAGCTGGCATTCTACCACATGAGCCACACCTTTAGCCTTACCTTTTGCTGGTTATTTTGGAGTTGGAGACTAGTGAGCTTTTTTTTGCCTGAGCTGGATGTGAATCAAGGTCCTCCGAATCTCAGCCTCCCTTGTGAGTACATAGGATTATAGGCCAGAGCCTCCTGAGTCTGCACTAGTTTTACTATTTATATGGAGACTTGGGTGTGCATCACAGTGGAAACACTTTGAACAAATCAATATATGTCTTTGAGCCCCTTTTCCGCTCTCAGAACAAGGGATACTGAAATGTTTGGTAAGCAAAACGGCAACACCGTGTTCACTTTCTACTCAGTAGAGAACACAAATGAATTCAAGTAGATTCTTAGCTTTCTTGGTTTGTGTATTTTAGCCAAATTACTTCCGGTAGGCTAAGGTTCCATTTGCTCAACTAAGTGTTAGCTGGTTAGCAAGCTATTGGATTAGGCAATACATAAAATAATAAAAAAAAAAAAACCACCAGAAAAACAACACTTAAAAAATAAATATTCAAAGAAATAGGAGTCATTTGTTCTGGGGAGAAGCTGGGGGTGGGTCTCTGTCCTTTTATGCAAAGACAGCCCTTCTTACCACTGGTAAACCCGGGGAACACTTAGCAGATCGAGTAAACCTATACAACAGGAAGTATTCCCAAGGTCTAGGGAAATACCATTCTGTGGACCCTGGGATGGAGTAACAGCATCTTGTCTTTGAGTTCTGGAAAAAAACCCTTCTAATTAGCCACGGGGAGGGGCCAGGCTTCCTTCCCCCACCCGCATGATCAGGCACCCTGGCTAGTTTAGGTTTCCTGATCTATTCAGAGGACGGTTTATGACGTTCACCTGCCTGAATGAGAGCTCATCTCCACCTGCCAAGGGCGGTGCAGAGCCCTCCGCCCCTCGGGTCGCTGACATCCTCCTCCCTTTCGTTCTGGCTCTGGGCGCCGCCTGGCGGCGATTTCCGGAAGTGTCCGCTGAGCTTTGCAGGAGGGGCGTGGGTGGGGTCCTGGCGGCGGCCAGGGCTGTCCACAGATTTGCCTAACTCGAGGGAACCTGGCCTCCGCCCCGCCCCCTGACCACCTACTGAGTGTTTTAAGACGGCAATGAAGGGGCCGCGGTTCCCACGAAAGGGGTGTCGGGCGTCTCCTCCAGCTTCTGAGGATGGCGGGGTCAGGCCGCCACCGGGCAGCTCGCGACCCGGAAGTCGCCCTGAGCTCGAGGCCCCCGTTGCCGAGCGCGGGCGCGGGGGGCGGAGCGCGGCGCCGGCGGGGACGGGGTCGTCGCGGCCGCCGCTCCTCCTTGAGTTCGGGGCCGCCTGAGGCGCCGTCGCGGCGACGTCGGGGCCGCCCGAGAGGTGGCCGCGGGCTCCGAGGCGACATGAGCGCGGCGGGGCTGCTGGCTCCGGCGCCGGCCCCGGCTGGAGCGCCGCCCGCCCCGGAGTTCTACCCGGAGGAGGACGAGGAGCTGGAGAGCGCCGAGGACGACGAGCGCAGCTGCCGGGGCCGCGACTCGGACGAGGGTGCGTGCGGGGCGGGCGGGGTGCGGGGACGGGGGGGTGGCCCGGCCCCGGGGGGGTCACGACTCCCACGGAGGCGCAGGGGGCGGGCGGCGGGGGGCAGGGGGCGGCGGGGGTGCGGGGACGGAGGCGGGGGTGGCCCGGGCCTGGGGTGCGGGGACGGGGACGGGGGTGACCCGGGCCTGGGGTGCGGGGACGGAGGCGGGGGTGACCCGGGCCTGGGGTGCGGGGACGGGGACGGGGACGGGGGGGGGCGGCCCCGGGCCTGGGGTGCGGGGACGGGGACGGGGATGACCCGGGCCTGGGGTGCGGGGACGGAGGCGGGGGTGACCCGGGCCTGGGGTGCGGGGACGGGGACGGGGACGGGGGGGGGCGGCCCCGGGCCTGGGGTGCGGGGACGGGGACGGGGATGACCCGGGCCTGGGGTGCGGGGACGGAGGCGGGGGTGACCCGGGCCTGGGGTGCGGGGACGGGGACGGGGACGGGGGGGGCGGCCCCGGGCCTGGGGTGCGGGGACGGGGACGGGGATGACCCGGGCCTGGGGTGCGGGGACGGAGGCGGGGGTGACCCGGGCCTGGGGTGCGGGGACGGAGGCGGGGGGGGGCGGCCCCGGGCCTGGGGTGCGGGGACGGAGGCGGGGGGGGCGGTCCCGAGCCTGGGGTGCGGGCCGAGGGGCGAGGCAGCCCCGGGCCTGGGGTGCGGGGACGGGGACGGGGGGGGGGGCGGCCCCGGGCCTGGGGTGCGGGTCAGGGGCGAGGCAGCCCCGGGTCTGGGGTGCGGGGACGGGGGCGGGGGGGTCGGGCCTTGGGTGCGGGACGGGGACGGGGAGGGGGCAGCCCCGGGCCTGGGGTGCGGGGACGGGGAGGGGGCAGCCCCGGGTCTGGGGTGCGGGGACGGGGGGGGGGGCAGCCCCGGGCCTGGGGTGCGGGGACGGGGAGGGGGCAGCCCCGGGCCTGGGGTGCGGGGACGGGGACGGGGGGGGGGCGGCCCCGGGCCTGGGGTACGGGGGCGGGGGGCGAGGCGGCCCCGGGCCTGGGGTGCGGGGACGGGGAGGGGGCAGCCCACGGTAAGGCACCCTGAGTCCGGGCTGGGGGAGGCCGCCCCGTGCCCCGCACTTAGGTTAGAGACTGGGTTAGAGGTTGTCCGAGGTGTCTGGTCCCTTTAAGACCGCCGGCTCCCTCCGTCCCCATTCCCCCACTGAACTCGCGTGTTGGTGGGAAAGCCCTCCCGCGGAGCGCTCGCCACCCCCGGGGCGGGGCCCAGGGAAGCCCACCTGCGTTTGCAAAGTGGTCCCCCGGCCGAGTTGGAAAAACACAAACAAAAGCCCCACGCCTTGGATCCTAGCTACTCAGGAGGCTGAGATCTGAGGATCTCGGTTCGAAGCCAGCCCGGGCAGGAAAGTCTGTCACCCCCACACCCCTTCCCCCGTCAATTAACCACAGAAAGGCCGGAAGTGGAGCGGTGGCTCAAGTGGCAGAGCACTCGTGGCCTTGAGCAACCCCCCCCCCCCCCCCCAGCAACAACAACAAACAGGGACGGTGCACCGGTCCTGAGTTCAAGCCGCAGGACGGGCGCACAACCCCCTTCCCCTCTCCCGGTATAAATATGATCTCGAAGTCAGTTTTTGGCCTGGCTTTGCCCCACCCCGGGTGAAGGGGTTGGTAGCGCTGACTCCCCCGGGGGGGGGGGGGGACGTGAAGGCTGGAGCATCAACCAGGTACTTAGTCTGGGGCTCCGGAAGGGTTTTTAACACTAGGGAAAAGGGTGGGGGGGGGGGGGGAACTGCTTGCCTATGGCGTGTGTCCCGTCCAGTAGGCTTCTCTCAGAGTCCAGCTTTTTTCATTCTGGTCTCCAGCCTTTGGCAAGTGCGAGGAGCTTCAAGAAGGAGCTAGAGGGAGAAGAAAGGTGAATAGAAAAGGGCAGGAAGAGAGTCATGTGGGTAGAGTATCCTGGCATGTTGGGCCCCAAAACTAAGGTAGATCAGTTGTCTGGAGTCAGTCTCCCGGGTGGCGCTTCCCTGAACCCCTTTCTCGAGAATGAGGTCCCGACAGACCGGGTCCAGCACCTAAGAAGGCATTGCATGCAGGTGCATGGTGTTGAGCTATATTGAAAACTAGAGGTTTTGGGTGAAACCCTTTGCATTGCACCCAGTGGCCACCAGGGGGAGCACTGAAACCAAAGTTGACTTTTTATTTTCAGTAAGGGGCGGTTGAAATTCTCTACCCTTCAGCTGTTTGCCAGAGAACAGGGTTATAAACGTTTTGAAACTTTTTAAATTTGTAACTAGTCATCTTGCCCCCATCCTGCCTTTTGTGACTTTAAACATTATTTGGTTATTAGAACTTAATTTGTGGTGGGGAATTCTCCTTTTTCAGTGTATGTATCTGAGGAACAGTGTGTGCAGGTTCAAACCCAGCATCCCTCAGGAGAGAGCGTGTGCACTCTTTTGTTGTTGTTGTTGGTCATGAGGCCTGAACTCTGGGCCTAGGTACTCTCCCTCGGCTCTCCAGCTCAAGGCTAGCGCTCTACCACTTGAGTCACAGCGCCACCTCCAGCTTTTTCTGCTTATGTGGAGCTGAGGAATTGAACCCAGGGCCTCCTGCATGCAAGGCAAGCGCTCCACCACTGACCGCCTTCCCAGCCCTGCACTCTTTTTGAGCAGTGAGTAGGGCTTGAGTGCTTGCAATTCCTGCTGGTGATGCCCATATCTCCCCTGCACTACCCTGATTGTTACGGTGGCATCCTTACTGCCTGTGTCTGCTGCACCTTCTTTTCTGGCTTCCCTTCAGATAAAGGCAGACTCTTTCATACAGCTGCTTGGGCTAGTTGGAGGTGGTATTTTGTGGTTTCATGCAGGCCTGTGGTGAGTAGAAGTTTACTTGTTCTTGTCAGCTGTGAATTATAATCTTAACCTGTCTTCATTTTCTCAGATACGGAGGATGCCAGTGAGGCTGACCTGGCAAAGCATGATGAAGAAGACTATGTAGAGATGAAAGAACAGTGAGTTTATTTGCCTGTCTCTGTTCATTGATATAAAATCTTTATGGTGGCTCTGTGGTTTTGACCTTGGTTCTTCAAAAGTACACATTGTTAGGTTTTTAAAAAGAGGTAGCCGAGTAAGAACAGCAGCACGCACATGGTATTCAGGTAAGGGGTAGGTTTATTCAGTAGACCTGCTGGGACCAGGCAAGGTTGGCACTCCACGCGGCTGGGAAAGGCCTAGGAAAGAGAGAGAGCCGGGAAAGAGAGAGAGGAAAGAGAGAGAAAAGAGCTTGAGAAGAGCTAGACAAGAGCAGAGAGAGGGCTAGAAAAGAGAAGGAAAGAGCTGAGAAAGAGCTAGAAAGTTGCAGAGAGAGGGCTTCTGGGCCTGAGAAGGGTGTGGCCACATCAAATTCAAATGTGACCTCAGTGGATGCAGATGTGACCTCTCCCAGGTGTCCCAGTTGCCTAGGTAACACAGGTACTGGGTGGAGACTTTGCTACCAGGAGGGTGGAGTCTGCTAGCCATCCCAGAGCGGACCTTACACACATTATCTCTGCATTTCCTCCTTTAAAGCAGTACAGTTAGTCTTCCAGTTAAGACTCTTGAGTCTTATATCTAGGTTTTGATGTGTCTGACAAGGCCCAAAGAAGGTAACTGGCATCTATGCTGGCCGTTCTACTCTGTCTTGATGCTCTCAGGGACCCGGGACTGGAGAGCAGGCTTCTGACTCCTGTGCACAACTTGTCTCAGTCTCTCTCATCTTCACCACTCGTCACTCACACCCTCTCCTTGTTTGAGGACACATGCACAGAGAGCAAACTCTGCTCACCTTTGTATGTTTGTTTTCTTCTGAGACAGGCTGGTCTCAAACTCCTGGGCTCTCCCAATCCTCCAACCTCCACCTCCCAAGTTCTAGGAGCCCCAGGTTCCCCTCCATCCTATCTGCTTTTTATCACATCCTGTTTGCTTTTTATATTGTACCCAGATAGAAAGCAGTATAGCATGGTCTCTGTGTATTTATTGAAGATCTTGACTTGGACTTCTGAAATTTTTCTAAAGTAGAAGTTCCACATTCTTTTGTAGGGCCTGTTTGCCAGGGTTTGTGGCTATCTTCTGGATTCTTTTATCCTTTTCAAGCTTTGAAACTCAGATAATTCATTTAAGTCTGAACAGGAAAGATAATAATGGGTCACCTTGATGCCTGTGATCTTTCCAACAGTGGTCTGGGTTTTATTCTTCCTTAGTCTCTTCCTGACTGACATTGACCCCTTTGAGATATGTTCTCACGATTCCCGGTACACTGTTCGTTTTTGTAGACAGACTCAGATGCAGGCACTGTCTGGGACTGTGGGATGGGAGATTGAATGCCCTGGGTGCTGAGTGCTGACTTTTTGTGCTTTAAAAATTTTATTTTTTATTTTTATTTTTGTCAGTTATTGGGTTTGAACTCAGGACCTGGGTGTGGTCCCTGAGCTTTTTTTTTTGCTCAAGGCCAGCACTCTACCACTTTGAACCACTGCACCACTTCTGGTTTTCTGGTGATTAATTGGAGATGAGTCTCACGGACTTTCCTGCCCGGCTGGTTTGAACTGCGATTCTCAGATTTCAGCCTCCTGAGTACCTAGGATGACAGGCTTAAGCCACTGGTGCCTGGCTTGCTTATGGTTTTATTTATTTATTTATTTATTATTATGAAAATACTGTACAGAGGAGTTACAATTACATGGGCAAGATAATGAGTACATTTCTTATCAAGCATTGTAGCCTCCTCCTCTTTTGTTTCCCCTTCCCATCCCTTCTCATCCCCCCGCCCCCCCTCCCCCTTTGCTTATGGTTTTATGTCTGTTCCTTCTCCTGTACTTGATGTTTAAACACCATTTTTTAGAGATAATCTTTGGGTTGAAAATAGCAAGTATAAAATAAGTTTTGACTAAAATGCAATGCCTTGTATGGCTCCCAGTGACTATCAGGAGTCATTGGAACTCTCCCTAGGAAGCCTAACCTGTGAGTGAGGGCCAAAGCCTGGCCAGACTTAGCTGAATTATCCCTTGAGTGTCTTTGTAATAAGAGTCTAAAACTGAAAAAAAAACTACCTAACATGTAGTAGACATGGCAGCCTTTTAACTGCTCAGAGGAGATCTCCAAATACAACCCACACTCCTCTAGTTCTTTGGGCTAATAACATGCCGTATGCTTTGTGTGTGCTGCTTCTTCTCACCCAGCTGGGGCTGCATTTTAACTTTTGCCTCTGAACTACTGTTATTTATTTTTGTCAGTTGTGGGGCTTGAACTCGGGGCTTGGGCGCTGTCCCTGAGCTCTTCTACCACTTGAGCCACAGCGCCATTTCTGTGTTATTTTTTTGATTCTGAAAGAGTAGAGCTTAAAAGAAGTGACAAGGAAGTTTATTAACTCGATGCTCACACAGCTGTGCTAATTTGTAGACCTGTACTCGGAAGGCATCGTCTTCCTTCTTGTTTAGGTGCTGGAGGAGTTGTGTTTAGTGCCAGCTCCACATTTTTTGGCGTGTGATGCTGTGCCTTAAAATTCAAAAGAAAAGAGCATGGCGCTTGTACTTTATTTTTGTATGTCCTTGTTTACCTGTCCACCATTGGTGTTTATTATAATTTGCCATCTTCATGATTGGACATTTTGAATTGGTTTACAGAAGAATCTGTAAAATTAGGGTGTGATTCAAGAATACTGGAGCCTTTCCCTTTGTGATCCCTGTATCTGGAGCCTTCTAAACCAGCCTCTCCTTTCCTCCGTCCCTTGAAGGGCACTGGGACTGTAAACACTGTGGGCAGCTTCTGTGTGAATGGTGTTTGGAACTGAGGACTGACATTGTCTTTTCATGTGACTTTTTTTTTTTTTAAATAGGATGTATCAGGACAAACTGGCTTCTCTGAAGAGGCAGCTGCAACAGCTGCAGGAAGGTTGGTGTGTGCTCATCTCTGTCGTTTCTAAATATCTTTGAGTTTTGCCTGGCTTGCTGTTCTGTGGGAGTGGTTTAAGTGATCCAGAACATATTTTGCTGTCTTCTGCTGATAAAGTAGTGGTTTTCAAGCTTTTCCATGTTTCCAACAGGGAGCGTATTCTTCTAAAGTGAAATTCTCCGTGGGGCCTTCTGGAGGGCTCCAGTTGAGTCCTCTGTGCCTCAAGCATAGTGCTCTTAGGAACAGTGCTGCAGCTCCACTGTCCTGCAGTGATCTCCGGTGTGACGAGGGGAGTCAGTAGGACCCAGCACTGGGGTGGACCCAGCAAGGAACTGGGGCTTTGCTGGTGCTGTTCGCTTTGGGTTCATATCATGGAAATTCTCCCTACCCTCCCCCTACCTCATTGAGCCTGCTTTTCCAGTAGTTGCTGTTTTTCTAGGGAGTGATCTTTTTCCTTGAACTGGCCTGGAGCCAAGCCCTAGGATCAGGGATCATAATTGCTTCAGGGAAGACCAGGGAGTGAGCAGAGGCTTCAGGGTTTACACCTGAGCACTGGCAGGCTGCATGTAATTGACTGAAAGTAGTCATCATCTTCCTCAGCTGTGTTAGCAGTCTTTCGTGCTAAAATAGCCACCGAGGGCTCGTGGCTGGCACTGGATAGTGCAGGTGCAGAACATGCTTCCAGTGCAGAAAGCCTTCCTGGACAGCCTTGACCAGGCCTGCTGAAGGAGAGTGATCTTTCTCCTGGAAAGGGAAGCCTATTGCCTTAGGCTATAGCCACAAGTGGTCAGACTGACCTGGTGAATCTATACCCTTCCTACTCTCCCTCACTCACCTGAGATCTTGATACTCTGGGGTGGGCCACATCTAGGCCTGGGGTGGAGTGTGCTGTGGGTCTTGGCCGAGGGCCTGAATCCAGTAAACTCCTCTTGGGTATGGTTTCCTAGGCTTTCTTCTATTCTGGTGTTACTTAGTCACCAGTGGTGGGAGAAAAGAATCCTAGGGAGCAATGAGGAGCAGATTGATCTTCAGAATACATATCTGTTTTATAAATTCCCAATTCCAGGCACATTGCAGGAATATCAGAAGAGGATGAAAAAGTTGGACCAGCAATACAAAGAAAGGATCCGGAATGCAGGTGAAGGTCTCTAAAATGAAAACACCCCTGCATACTTTTCCCCTTTGTTATCAGCATGTAATGTTACCCCAATCTTTTCTCCACAATGTGTCCCTCCACTGGGAGAGTCTTGGGGAAGAGAAAGTGCAGTGGTGCAGTTTTCAGGTAGCTTAGGCTGACAGCAGTGACTCCTGTCAGGTTATTTTCCTGGGTCCTCCCCTCTCCCCCCCTGGGGGGTCTTCACCTTTTCTGGTCTGCCTGGCTGAATTGTAGACAGTCAGAGGCTCTGATGCTAAAGAAGGTATAGGTTGTCCTGCCCACCGTTACCTGCTGCTACTGGATTCTGTACTCAGAACGGCCCTCCTCCTTTCTGCAAGTATTGCATTGTAAGCCTGCAGAGAAAAGGAGCAGGCTTTTGCTTTGGGGCTGTTGTGTGGAATAAATGCATCCATTTGTTGGGTATCTGCTCCATTTACAAAGTGTAAGCAACATAAGGCTGTGGACACATTGCCCTTTAGGAAACTTGACATTGCTCTGATAGAAAATAGCTGCACACGTAAAGGGAAAGAACCCTGGTAGGAGCAGGATTTGAAAACGAGCTGGGTGCTCCAGCGTTAGGTAGATGAGTTGCTTTTCTTCATTCCTGCAGACTGTCCTTTTCTTTTGTGTTATGTCATATAGGCTTCTCCTCTCAACTGAAGGCACAGAAGCTCTTCTAGATCAGTCATGATGTGGCTGTAGAAAGCAGAGTCAGTCTTACAGAGACAGTCCACCTCTTCAGCTGTGCTGTATTGGCTGAAGCCCCGTCATCCGCCTGCTTGCTGCAGGTGTGACTGGTCATGGGTAGCACCACGAAGCCTTGATAGCATGGGGCTGGGTGTGCTTGGGCTCCTGTGCCCAGCCATTCCTGGGACCAGAGTGCTGAGGGTTTCTGCCCATCAGAAACAAAGTGGTTTAGTCTTTTCTGCAGTTGACATTTTCCATCAAGCAGCTTCAGATGTCCTCTGCACCCTGAGAGCTCTGTGGGGGTATGGTTGCGTGCATCTGGGCTGTGGGTCTGTAGGATGTCAGGTTTGCACTGACCCTGTTAAGCTGGGCTCAATACCCAGTAGTCTTCACTGACTGCATACAGTAGGCCATAGGCCTATTTTATTCCAAGAATGGGTTTTGTATCTTCTCTTGGGGTGTGAGTGTGTGTGTGTGAGAGAGAGGTAAGTGAGAGTCTGTTTTGTAAAGAACTGCTAATTGTCAGGTACACTATAGGCCTTAGAAACCTGTGCAGCACTGCTGGGTGGGTCCTTCCAGTGGCTCACCGGGGCTTAGTGAGTGAGGAAGGACTGCAGTTGATTAGGAACTTGAGAGAGGTCAGAGGCCCCAGGGCATTGTTGTCAGAGGCACCAGCCTGGTCAGAGCCTGACGTCCTGAGAGCAAAGTCCTAGGAGAGCTCAGCAGGACCTCTGCTGAGGGGTGTTGGAGGGCTTGACTCAGAACTGTTTGAGCTGATAGCATCCAAGACCAAACTTAAAACAAGCACAAGTATTTCTCCTGTCCTTCTTTTCACATCTCCCCACATTTGCTTTGTATAATGTGCTGTCAGAAAGTAATTCTGTGTATTAAGTGAGGCCTGATGTTCCTGGGTGGGAAGGTGTGGCACCTGGGGACCCAGAATCTAACTGTACACTGTTTTTCTCTTCCAGAGCTCTTCCTCCAGCTGGAGGTAAGTACTGGACTTGCAGACTGGGCTGCTGTGGGAAGCCGCCTCTCCTCCTGTGGCCTCCTTCTGTGAAACTGGAGGCCTTCTCTTCATTTGTTGTTGGATAGCCTGTGCTTAACACCGGGGCTGCTCACTGTTTTCTGTGGCATTTACCTCACAGTATCTGAATTATAGGGACTTCATATTGATACTGGTCCTTGAAGTAGTCCCATGGAATTGCTCACAAAATCATTTTTTTTTTTTTTGGGTCCGGTTGTGGGGCCTGAACTCTGGGCCTGGGCGCTGTCCCTCAGCTCTTCAGCTCAAGGCTAGCGCTCTACCACTTGAGCCACAGCGCCACTTCCGGCTTTTATCTTTTTGCTTATGTGGTGCTGAGGAATGGAACCCAGGGCCTCAGGCATGCAAGGCAAGTACTCTACCACTGAGCCACCTTCCCAGCCCACAAAATAATTTTTTAACAGCAACTCTGGGCCAGTAATAAAAGCTTCCTTTCAGTCTGCATTCACTCTGGCTCTGTCAGTCTCCAGTCGGCGTCAAGGCCAGTCTTGAGGGCTGTTTTGTCCCAGGTGGTGATTGGGTAGAGATGGTGTTTTTTCCACCCTGTTGTTGGAAGCCATTCTAAAACGAGTCACTGCCTAGGGGATCACATGGTCCCCACCCATGGCCCCTGTGTTTATTACACTATGGTGCAGGGATTGTTGAAGTGGGTGCTGTCACTGGGGAAGTTCCTCAAGTGCTAAAGAGAGCCTAGCAACAGAGGGCCCTGAGTTCAAGCCCCAGTAATGCCAAAGAAAAAAAAAAGGGGTGTTTACAGGTGGATTTTGTTTTTGTACTGGCATTTGAACTCAGGAGCTTACTGATTGCTAGGGTGTCTTTACCACTTGAGCCCCCCCCGCAGCCCTTTTTGCTTTAGTTATTTTTCAGATAAGGTATTGTAGGTTTTACCCTGGACCACAGTCTCCTGGCTTAATACCTTCTGCATAGCTGAGTTTACAAATCTCAACCACTTCATTCAGCTCATTTGTTGAGATGGGAGTACTCACTATTTTCCCAGGCTGGCTCAAACCATGATCCTCTGATCTCCACCTCACAAAGCTAACTGGGAAGTTAGTTTAGTTTAATTGCAATGTTTCAGGAACCTTGTGAATGATCTGTACTTCCAGTTGTGGGGCCTGAACTCTGGGCCTGGGCGCTGTCCCTCAGCTCTTCAAGGCTAGTGCTCTACCACTTGAGCCACGGCACCACTTCCAGCTTTTTTCTTTTTGCTTATGTAGTGCTGAGGAATCGAATCCAGGGCCTCAATGCATGCAAGGCAAGAGCTCTACCACGGAGCCATCTTCTGAGCCCATAAGGTTGTTACTATTTTTTTGTTGATTGTGCGGCTTGAACTCTGGGCCTTAGCGCTGTCCCTCAGCTCTTCAGCTCAAGGCGAGCGCTCTACCGCTTGAGCTACAGTACCACTTCCTGATCTGTACTTCTAAGTATAAAAAATAGTAACTCCATTTGTCTGGTTTTAATATCATGCAGTTAATTTTGAGTAGAGATTTCATCTTAAGATTGCCTTCTTGAGACACTGTGCTTTATTAATTGTGGTCTCCTGGCGGGCAGGGAGGAAGCAGTCCTGTGTCTGAACTTGGCCCTTTGTTGGCCTTGCTGACCCCTGGTGCCACATGTGTGTAAGAGTGTGTAAGACTGACTTGTACTTCTGGTCAAGGTATTTTCTTTACTGTTGAGAACTGTTGAGCCTGACTTCCAGCTGCTTAGACTATGTTTCCCCCAGCCTGTGTTTCTTTCTTGTTCAGACTGAACAAGTGGAAAGAAACTACATCAAAGAAAAGAAGGCAGCAGTGAAGGAATTTGAGGACAAGAAGGTGGAGCTGAAGGAGAACCTGATTGCAGAACTGGAAGAAAAGAAGAAAATGATTGAGAACGAGAAGCTGACTATGGAGCTGACGGGAGGTATGGAAACTCTGTGTGTGTGTGTGTCCGTGTCCCTGTCCCTGTCCCTGGTAGGCTCCAATTACTCTTGCTGTCTCCCACCTCCAGAGCGGGATGTGGCCATGGTTGGGGGAAGGCTTTGACAGATCAGCTTTCTAGCTCCACCTGGTATCGGCTGTGTGGCCTTGATCCAGCTGCTTCACTTGTGTGAGTCAGTTTCTAGACTGTCCAGGGGGGCTGGCCGTGCCCTAACTCTGGTTTAATATTAGAAGTACCCAGGACAGTGTCTAGCTGAGACACAGGTGGTTCAGTACAGAGGTGTGCCTTGAATAGGAAATGCAAGCTCTGGCTTGTGCTTTACCTGACTTTCACCTGGGCCGGTGAAAGACATGCTCCATGTCTCTGTCCTTTTCAGTCACTCACCCAGCCCATCTGCTCTGATGGACTCTGCTCTGTGTTTGCTGTCTGCCTTAATTACAGGCAAGGTGCTGTATCTTCTCTCTTGAGCTTCTCTGTGTCTTCCCCCAGGCTGTGCTATGAGCACTTCAGAGCCAGTGCCATTCTAGCAGGGCACTTGACTATTCTTTGAGGCCACAGAGGTCACCTGAGGCTTGGGGCCAAGCCTCATCCCTACCCTAGGACTTCCTGAACTGCATGTGGGAGCCCAACAGGGCGCAGCAACTTTCAGGGAGAAGTGATATGGACTGACTTTGTGGTCTGCATGTAGGCTGATGAGCCCTGGAAGGATACAGAGGATGGGCTGGAATTCAGCAAATGCTGCAGAGCAGGTTGGGCAAGTCTGTCACTTGAGGTCTCACACCATGCCCTGCTGCACGGCCCACATTTAACTCAACCACCATCAGAGGTTCTGGTACTCTGGTACATCTGATTTCAACAGGGTGCAGGTTTTCCTTTTTTTTTTTGAATGGATATACTTGGAGCTCACTTTGAAACGAAAAGTAACTAGTGAAGATCTCCCCCTCCACCCCCAAGTTTCTGTTCTGTGAACCAACTTGGGCTTCCTGTTGACAGACTTCTACCCTGATGAGAATGTGCTTGTGTCTAACAGTGGGGCAGGGCCCAACCCCTCAAGTCTCTGCTAGCTTCCTCATTGGAGGACTTGGTGAGGGTATGCATGCCTTAGGCCTCCTGACTTGTTTTGGAGTAGGTAGATGCTGTAGTAGCATCTTCAGGCAGCCCCACCTTGTTGGGGTTTCTATCACTAGACTGCTAGCACTGTGCTGCCTCATTTGTAGGAATCTGCCTGCCTGTGCTATGACCCTTTGCTGGTGGCTATGACTGGCATTGATGCCTCATTGCTCTGCTAGAGACACCAGATGCTCAGGAGCCTTCATTAGGCTAGTGGGAAATAGTGTCTGGTTATAGCCGCTCCCTTTCCATCTGCAGGGAAGGGTATCAGCACCTCACCTGTAATTTGGTATTGTAATTGTTGACAAGCCAGAGACAGTGTTTGGCCAGGCTGTTTTACCGACAGAATGGTAACTGGGACAGGGGCTGTCCTCAGTGACTTGAGGCAGAGTGTGCCAGGGTGGAAAAGACAAATCAATGCAGTGAAATCATTTGTAACGCAATAAAATAGATTACAGAGGTGTTTAAAGCTAGCCATGGGCATTGAAGGTACCGATGTCCTTCCTCAAGCCATTTAGTACCCTTGATATGGAGAGGACTGCCAAGGTAATGATGGAGTGTGCAGAGAAGAGCCACTGGAGCTGGAAGATAATTAGCCTTTCCACAGATGGTGCTGCTATGGAGTTGCATTAAAGGCCTGTTCTCTTCCTCTAATTGACTGACTTATTTCACCTCTGTGGATTGATGCCCAGTGTCATTGTTGCCCAGCTCTGCACACAAAAGGTATTTCTACAGATCTCCTTTTCTGTTCGACCTGAAGATCTCATCTAAAAACAAAGTCAGATTTGAGAGGCTAAGGCAAAACCTTGTCTGAGGGACCCTCTGGAAACAGGTGACCTGCTCACACACTGGTGACCTGCTCTGAGCATGACGTAAAGCACTCACCTCCCTGGGAATTTGTGCAGGATGACGTCTTGACACCCAGGCCTCTGTAGAGGACATAGGAAGGGCAGTTGTGGCAAGGGGTACAATAGTGGAGAAGCTAGGCTAGGTTGTTGCTCTGATTCAGCTTTAAGGTGTACATGTGTCAACTGGGAGCCTGGACATAAGGCATGCTGTTGAGAGGCCCCAGACCCACTGTGCCTCCCATCAGACCAGGTTGATAGAACCACCCAAGTGTGTGTGTTTTCTTTGATGTTGAGGCCAAGATTGTAAGTAACCCAAAGAACCAAAGAACCTAATTAGCCTTAAAAATTCGTGGGGCTTTTATCACTTTTTCCTTCTGGTGCCAGTACTTGGGGTTGAACTTAGGGATCCCACTTTTGTTCAGCTTTCTTGTTCAACAGCTGGTGCTCTACTACTTGAGTTATGCCTTGAGTCCAGCATTTTGCTGATTAATTGGAGATGGGAATTCTCCGATTTTTCTGCCTAGGGTGGCCTTAAACTTTGATTTCCAAATCTTGGCCTTCTGAGAAGTTAGGATTGGCAGGCATAAGCCATTGGTTCCTGGCTATTATTAATTCATCATTTTTCTTGTTAGTGCAGGCCTTTTGTGTGTGTGCTTTCACCAGCTCCCTATTTGCCACTATAATTTCTTTTGCCAATTTTACTCCTTTCAGTTTCTGGAAGCTACTTGTGGCCTCAGTAAAGCTCTTGTTTCCTTTAGAAAATAGTCCTAGCTGGGAGCACATGTCATTAAAGTCAGAGAAGATGTCTGTCTCCTGAGCACACAGCGACTGAGATCCTAGGCATTATGTAGAAACCTTGAGCTGTGTGGGCTGATGGGCCTGTGGTGTCCTGGCTTCTTTACCAGCTTAGTTGTGAGGCGGTTTCCTCCTTTGGCAAGGTAGTGATAGCCCATCTGGTGGTGGGAACTGAGTGGAGACGATGCTTGTACTGTGCTTTGGAGAATGACTGGCTCAGGGTAGACGTGGGACTTGGGAAGTGTAACCTTGTTCAGTTCCTGTAGCCTTTCTGGTCTGGGTGTCCTTCTATCTGGTTTACAGATGGCAAGGCTGACAGTGAAGTGCAGCCATTTGCTCAGCCCCCAAAGGAACTGGCTAGTGTTTCACTAGAATTCATGTCAGCTGCCTCATTGTGACTCTCAGAACCATAGGTCATGGAGCACTGAGTGGGTCACAGAGTGAGACTGAGGGGTGAGGCCTTTGTGCTCAGCTGTTCCTGTTCTGATCGTCATGGAGCCTTCCCAGTGTAGTGCAGCGCTGAGAGATGGCCCCAGTGAAAGACAGACTGACCTCATGTTGTGCATGAGCATAGTCTCCACAGTGGTCACCCAGTGCAGGGGGCCTGAGGAGTCATGGAAAGGAGCAGGAGTCCCACATGAATATCTGGGGAAGAGAAGGGAAGAGGTGACCTGGATTTGGGGTGTGGGTCATCTTCCAGACACTCTGCTCACAGAGTGGAATCCAGGCCATTCTGTGCAGTCCGAGCACTTGTGGGCTCTGTCCTCTCTTTAATGCCATCTGCTCATGGCAGCTTGGGTCCAACTCTACAGTCCTGTTTATGCAGCACACCATGCTGGGCATAACAAAAGTTTGATTGAGACTGGTTCTAATGAACATATTTTTAGGCAGGAAAGAAACTACAAGCGGGTGCTGGTGGCTCACACCTGTAATCCTAGCTACTCAGGAGGCTGAGATCTGAGGATTGCTGTTCAAAGCCAGTCCTGGCAGGAGAGACCATGAGACTCCTATCTCCAATAAACCACCAGAAAACCGGAAGAGGTGCTGTAGCTCAAGTGGTAGAGCGCTCACCTTGAGCTGAAGAGCTGAGGGACAGTGCCCAGGCCCAGAGTTCAAGCCCCATGACCGACAAAAAAAAAAAAAAGAAACTACAAAGGCCAGTTTTATAAACTGACAAGGTAGGGGCTGGGAAGTGGCTAAGTGGTAGAGTGCTTGCCTTGCGGCCCTGGGTTCGATTCCTCAGCACAACATAAGCAGAAAAAGCTGACAGTGGTGCTGTGGCTCAAGTGGTAGAGTGCTCGCCTTGAACTGAAGAGCTGAGGGACAGCACCCAGGCCCAGAGTTCAGACCCCATGGCTGACAAAAAAAAAAAAAAAAGACAAGGTATAAAGAGGTACATATGATAGGTGGGTGATAGCCATTGATGCTTCACAACTTGCTGACCAGATTGGACACTGCAGTGTGAAAGATGCCCACCTAGTGCCAGCGGGCACCAGAGAAGAAGTAGATGGTCTGTGAGCTTGATAGCTCTGTCTAGTAGAGAGTGACTGAGTGCAGATAGGGAATCCCAGTGTCCGATGGGGGACCGTCCCATGGGGTGTGGCACTTGGCACAGGAGAAGTTGGTATGGAAGTATTAGTGGGAAGCTAGACTGAGCCTCTGCCTGGGGGTGATGTCACAGACAGGAGAATACCGAGTGGACTTTGTAAGGCAGGATATAGGAGTTCAAGGGCAGAAAAGAAGCTAGCCAGTTGCTGATGGCACATGCTTGTAATCCTAGCTACTGAGGAGGTTGAGATGCAAGGATTGCAATTTGAAACCAGCTAGGTAGAAAAGTATATGAGACTTATCTCCAGTTAACCACTCACTGAAAATTCAGCTAGCATTGTGGGCACCCCCCCCAAAAAAAAATAAAGAGGTTTAGAAATAGCACTCAGGACCAGCAAACGGAGCCATAACACAAAAAGATGGGTCTCTGGGTAACAAGTGAGGCCTGTCCTTCAGTTGGGAGAGCAGTAGGCCTCTGAAGTATTTAGTAAGAATGACGTACAAAGTGATAGTACCTGTGTCCTACAGAGATCACTGAGGAGGGGGCCTTCCGCAAGGTTATTGAACAGGTTCATGAGGCTGAATTGATTATGGATGAATTTGATGCCTGAGTAAAGACAGATGAGGGGGCTGATTTTGTTTGCATGTGGAAGGGGACAGATGTAAAATGTAGGAGAGACAGCTTTGGGAGCGGAAGCAGAAGGATTGAGATTGTTATGGGTCATCATTGCGGTGCTGGCATTGGTGACTGTAGAGGACAGCCAGTATCTCAGGAAGGAGCGGGCCAGCACCAAAGACCTTTTATGCCAGTCGGCTTCAGAGCAACCCCTCTGTGGGAGAGTGGGAGAGCAGCAGAAATGGGGCACATGAGGACCGTAAGGCTCCTTCAGTCACAAGAGCAGAGACCTTTCTGGCTTCTTTATTTGAGGGAAAGGAGGAACAGCCCCTAGGCTTTTGAGGGTGCCAGAGAGAAACCCCCATGTTGGACTTTATGATAGTTTCCAAGAGGAGTGTGTGTCTGAATCTTAGAACCATAGACCCACTCTAGTCTTAGAGTAGTGTCTGCTTTAGACCATGCATAGGTCAATCATCTCCAGTAAAAGTTGTGCTGGGGAAGCTGTGGGCAAAAACCTTATACCACAGGAATTCTTACTGATTTCAGGTGGGAGCTGGATAGATTTACTCATTCGCTTCTTGCCACAGACTCTATGGAGGTGAAGCCTATCATGACCAGAAAGTTGCGGAGACGACCAAATGATCCGGTCCCCATCCCAGACAAGAGGAGAAAACCTGCCCCTGATATCCATTTCACCAGGCACCAATGACCTTTCCTTCCCTGAGACTGTTGAATCCTTTGCTTACCCGTTTGGTAGAGGGTCTATGGCAAAAGCCTGCAGAAGCAGCAGTATTTGATGGGAGCTCATGGCTATGGCTCCTCTTAACAAAAAGGCTTTGTAGAAAGCAGGCATTTACAAAGGTAATCTGTATTGGGAAGTTCAACCTGGTTTTAAAACTTACCTCAGGGGCAGCTGCCAACCTGATGTGTCTTAATTTTTCCTCCTGTAAGGTGAGGACCGAAGTATCTGCCTTTGTGTTCCTCTGTCACCAGGTGCCTTTAAGCAGATGACATCATAGTCAACATAAAGAAGCTCTGTAGTCATAGAGATGGCTAATGGGATGGGATGCTTGGAGACTAGAGTTAGTGGTTCTGTCCCTCTTGAGAAAATAGCTGTTTTCTGTAGTGCTTCAGTCATTCTGCTACCAGCAGAGGGCCGAAGCTCAAGTTTCTTCTTCCTAAAGGTTTCAGAGCTAGGGAAGGGTAACTATAGAACATCATTGGAACTAAAGCTCTTTATAAATTCAGAGCTAAGTTGTTTTAGTTTGCTATGCTGTTACTGTTGTTATAGATACCTAACATATTGTTACTTTAAAAGCATCATGTAGCATCATTATCAGTTTTTCTAAAAATCGTTTGGCACCGTCAGTTTTAAAGGACAGATTTTCCTATTGTGTTGATTTCTGATTCTGGGGAACGGAACTTCTCAGGCAGCTTCCTTTAACTCTTCACACCTCAGCTAAACTACTTGTTAACAGACGAGCAGATCATGGAGGATCTGAGGACCTTAAATAAGGTATGGCTTGGCTTTTCAGATTCCTGGAATTCACCTGGTACTCTCCTGCACCAGGCTTGTGTAACTTGTTAAATCATCCATACCTGACACTGGAAGTTGCATCTGAAATGATTTTCTGTTGTTCTTCTTACAGCTTAAGTCACCCAAGAGACCAGGTAAGTGCATGATGTTACTGGCATTTGCAGTCTTTGTATCACATTGTTGGGAAAGCATGTGAATACCTGCCAGAGAATTGTGGCAGTTTTGAAAAAGTAAAGTTTGTGTTATATGCCCCAAGACAGGCATCACAGAAACTGAAGAAAACCGTACACGCTGTCATTTCTGTGGGATTTATTATAGATTACCCACCCTCCTTTTTTTGATACTTAGTCTTGGGGCTTGAACTGAGGTCATGGTTGCTGTCGCTGAGCTTTTGTGCTCAAGGCTAGTGCTCTGTCATTTGAGCCATAGTTTCACTTGCTTTTTGTTTTTGTTTTTTTAAATTTTGGTCGTGGGGTTTGAACTCTGGGCTTGGACGCTATCCCTGTGCTCTTCAGCTCAAGGCAAGCACTCTACCCCTTGAGCCACAGTGCCACTTCTTTTTAGTGTTTAATTAGAGATGAGTCTTATCTGGGCTGGCTTTGAATCATGATCCTTAGATCTCAGCTTCTTGAGTAAGTAGAATTACCACCATGAGCCATCAATGTTGGGCTTGTACTTTTCCTTTTCCTCTTCTCTTCTCTTCTCTTCGCCAGAGTCTTACTGTTTAGCTAGGCTGGTCTTGAACTCAAAATCTTCTTGCCTCAGCCTCTCAAGTGCTAGCATTATAGGGTCTGTACCATTATCCCCAGATAGTGATTGTTACAAGTTTCTTCGAGTTCATTGGCATCAGTTTTTTTTTGTTTTTTTTTTTTTTTTTTGGGTCTGGTCGTGGGGACTGAATTCTGGGCCTGGGCGCTGTCCCTCAGCTCTTCAGCTCAAGGCTAGCACTCTACCACTTGAGCCATAGCACCACTTCCGGCTTTTTTCTTTTTTCTTTTTGCTTATGTGGTGCTGAGGAATCGAACCCAGAGCCTCAGGCATGAAGGCAAGCGCTCTACCACTGAGCCACCTTCCCAGCCCTGGCATCAGTTTTGAAGATGAGAACTGGGGGTTGTTCAGTGTGACTTGTGTTCTGGTTAAGGCCTTGGCATTAGTGCTCTAGTGGCATTTCCTGGCCTGCCCCTGCTAATGCCACAGGCTGCACTGACTTGCAGTTTGTGGACTAGAGGCAATTCTCGTTGCAAATTAGCATTCTGAGCTGGAAATGTCTTTGGTTCTGAGCACTGTGATTACTTCACCGAACCCTCTCCTACTGAGGACACAGTTCTCCCTCCTGTGATGCCTGTGGTCCATAGAAAAGGACAAGAATGATTTATTTTCCCCCTCTGGTCCTGAGGCTTGAATTCTGGGCCTGGGTTCTGTCCCTGAGCTGCTTTTGTTCAAGGCTAGCACTCTACCACTTGAGCCACAGCACCACTTCTGGCTTTTTCTGAGTAGTTTATTGGTGATGAGTTTCACGGACTTTTCTCGCCTGAGTAGTTGGTGGTATGAGCTATCAGTGCCCAACATAATTTCCTTTTTAAGAAATATTTTTTTTTCTTGATCTGTTTTGAGTCCTCGTGGTCATGGGATTTTCTTCCTACTCAAAGTAACCTTGTACATCTGCACATTTGCCCTTTATCTCCCTGGCCTCAGGTTTCTCTTCTGTTCAGTGCTTACCTCATGGTTTTGTGGATCAGGTAACATGTAATGATGAGGAATTTTGTGGTGCACAGGGCAGATTGGGTGTCCACATTGAGTTCAGCATCAGTATGCTGAGGGACCGTTTAGTTGCACATCTGATGAGTCATAGGATTTCGTCTATGAACATCTGACACCCCACCTGGGTAACATATGAGACCCCACTGCTTAAAAAAAAAAAAAAATCTGTCCAGATTCTGTGTATTACTCGAGTAATGGCTTGGTGGTCTTTAACATTGCCCCCCTGGCAATGTTTGATTAAAGCATGTTGGCTGATGGGCTCACAAATTTATAAAATGCTCAGTCACTGAAGTGTCTGTCTGGTGTCTCCAGCATCCCCATCCTCCCCCGAACACCTGCCTGCTACACCCACGGAGTCTCCAGCCCAGAGATTTGAGGCTCGAATAGAAGATGGCAAACTATATTACGATAAAAGATGGTAAGTTATGAGAAAACAGTCCTTTATTTTTGTCTGAGAATGGAACTTGAACTTGGTATTTGACCCTTTTGCTTATTGATGGTGTTCTATCATCTGAGCCATGTCTCTAATCCCAAAGGTTTTTTTTTCTTCCCTCATTGCCTATTCTTAATAGTCTCAGAAGAACCTCTTAGTAGAGTCCACTGTGATGGTTATTTCAGATCATTCTCCCTCCCCCCACCTCCCATCTATTTAACTGAGGATCTTGCACATGCTAGGCAAGTGTTTTACCCCTTACCTACAATCCTAGCCCTAACTTAATTTTCGTTTTATTTTGGAGACAAAGTCTCATTATATAGTCCAGGCTGGCCTCAAACTTGCCATCACCCTTCCTCTGCTTCTCAAATGCTGAGACCATTGGGAACTCTGAGTACTACACGTCAGCAGTTTATGAATGCCTCTGTCAGGTCTTTGAAAGCCAGGCTTCCTCAAGAGCATCCTTCGGATGGTAGCCTGCCCCTTCTCTGTGCCGCTTCCATGGGCGCCCTTGCCAGCGGGACCAGGACCTGCCCTGTTTCTCTTAACTCCTCTTCTGAGCACTAAACTTATTAGGCATTCTGCAGATAAAAGGATTTTGTGGTCAAGTCCATTCAGGGGATGATTGTGCTAATTAAGATAAATGAGTGTCTTTCCTGCTCTGTCCCCGTGGGTCCTGCAGTTGTACATATTGCGGGTTCTAATGTGAGCAGGAGTTCTGTATTTGCCAGCTGTTCTCTTTCTCATGTGCCATCCCACTGCGGAAGTGTTCCAGAAAACTTGGAAACTAACCTTAGACATGATTAGTTTAGCTTTGAACACAGAAACTCTCAGACTGGCAGCATTTTATCATTGGAGAGAATGGTGAAACTATAGGAAAGAGCCCTAAAACTTGTCTGTATATTCATTAAGCAAACATTGCCTTCTATCTTAGATGTTCTCTTTGGTAGATAACCAAATCACCCTGGGTCCTGCCACAGCTCTGTGAGCCCTGGTTCAGCATTGTCTTTATTTATCCCGGTGCAGGCAAACTCTTTGCAAATGGGACACATGGTTAGTCCTGCCTTTCCATTTAGTTACATGAGGCTGTTTTTCTGGGTTACTGTATGGTCTCTAATTTATTGCATATGATAATCTTTTTTTTTTTTGGGGTCTGGTCGTGGGGCCTGAACTCTGGGCCTGGGCGCTGTCCCTCAGCTCTTCAGCTCAAGGCTAGCACTCTACCACTTGAGCCACAGCGCCACTTCCAGCTTTTTTTTTTTTTTTTTTTTTTGCTTATGTGGTGCTGAGGAATTGAACCCAGGGCCTCAGGCATGCAAGGCAAGCGCTCTACCACTGAGCCACCTTCCCAGCCCCTGCATATGATAATCTTTTAAGTTTTTCAATATTTTTATGTAGTGAAAAGTTCCAAAATTAGGGTGATGGTTATTTTGGCTTTTTTGAGGTTTATGTTAGTTACATCATGTCAATTGGTTACCTTATTTATGCATGTTTGTTTGTTTGCATGTATCTGTGTGCATATGTATGTGATTGTATGCATGTGGAGGGTCTGGGATTTGAACGCTTGACATACAAGTGTTCTCTACCCTTTGAGCCGCACCTCCAGCCCTTTTTTTTTTTTTTTTTTTTGGTCAGTCATGGGGCTTGAACTCTGGGCCTGAGCGCTGTCCCTCAGCTCTTCAGCTCAAGGCCAGTGCTCTACCACTTGAGCCACAGTGCCACTTCTGGTTTTCTGTTGATTTATTGGAGATAAGAGTTTCACGGACTTTCCTGCCTGGGCTGGCTTTGAACCGAGATCCTCAGATCTCAGCCTCCTGAGTAGCTAGGATTACAGGCGTGAGCCACCAGCGTCCAGCACCTCCAGCCCTTTTTGTGTTTAGTTTATTGTTCAGTCTGTTCTACCCTCCTGTGTCTCCCACCTACCTGAGATTTCAGATATAGGCCATTATACCCAGCTTTTGTTGAGATGGAATCTTGTTAGCTAATTTTTTTACACTAGCCTTTAAGCCGAGATCTTCCTGGTCTCTACCTCCCAAGTATCTGAAGCTAAGGTGTGAGCCACTGTGCCCAGCCAGTGATCCCTCTGTATCCATGAGGAATAAGTTCCAGGCCCCTGTCCCTCACCTAGCAAAATCCAATTGCATTTAACCTAAGGACACCTTCCTGTACAATTCTGTGTTGTCTTTAGGTTACTTACAATAACCCGTGCAATGTAAGTTGGTATTATACCTATTTTTCTTATTACAAGAAAAAAAAGTCAATAGTATGAACACATTTTTTTCTAAATGTTTTCAGTGGAGCTTACAGATTCATAGGCTGTGTTCTTGTCAGAAAGTGATCTAGTCATGCCTGAAATCAACCATTTTCACTTACTAATTTTCATTGACTTCCTTGTGCAGAAGATGGAAGAGGCTTTTTTTGTGTTGTGTAAGCCTAACAGGGGTGACCTCTACCACTTTTGTTGGGTTGCTTTTTAGTGTTGTTTTAACGTTGCTTATCAGAACCTACCACCACTAGGTGGCAGGCCTGAGCTGTTCAACACAAGGGGAGCAAACTAAGATGAAAAATGTTTCTAATAATGAAAACCAAATAACCTTTAAAGATCAAGCCCACATATAAGAACCGTTTTGAAAATGGTGAGATTTATAACTAACATTTTTACGGATCTGTGCATCTCAAAGCCATGTGATATTTCAAATGATGTTCATTTTGTGATTGCATTGCTTCAGATCTTCCTCTTTCTAGACTCAGTCCTTAGATTTTATGAGACGTGTCTTGAGGGTGAAAATGCAGAAAAATGAAAGTCCTGGTTCCTTAAAGAAAGGATCCACAGTGATGGGTGCTTCATAATGTAAACAAAGCGGTCAAAATGTTCACCATCTTTCTGATATTAGAGAATACATTTGAAAAAGAATGTCTATATACACAGCATTTCAATGCATTTCAAGTTGCTTATTCTATTTTTAATGTATTTTTAAAATGCGGCTTTCTATTCTGTTGTGTGTATTTCCTTGGGTTTGGCAATCACAGTGAGTAGCAAGAGGTGCTCCCTCCCTTCCCTGGTCCTTACAGCAGGGGATGCTTTCCCCTGTGCAGGACTGTCCCTCAAAGGTCCTGAGGTTGGCTGTGTGTTTGTCACTTGGGAGTCCTCATGTTTCTCTGCTTGGGAGACATGGCCTGTGGCCGAGAGATCAGCTGAGTCACTTTCTTCTTCCAGTCGCATAGTATTTTGGTAGAACAGTATTTTTGGCAAACCATGTTTCATTGAGTTTTAAATGACTTCAGCAAAATTGGGGTGAACACTTCCTCAGCTACATTGCATTTTGAAAGATAAGCATCTTCCTCTGCCCAGCTTGTCTGCTTTTAAAGCTTCCCCTCCCCCCATCATGCCTCAAGCTTTCCTCATAGTTTGATTTGGACTAATGACCTCTCAGAAAATACCATGAAAGTAGCTGATATTTTAAAATAACAAAGTTAACTGATGATGCTGGTAGATCGTTTTTTTTTCTTCTTCTCTGCTAATGTGAATCAAAAGTGAAGTGCTTCACTTGTTCAGTAGATTTAACCCTCCATCTCTCAGCTGCTGTTGGAACAGTGTTGCCTGGAGGTTCTAGAGCTGTTATGTGGATTCAGGTTTTGGAAAATGAAGTGTTAATTTTAGGGTTCCCAGTAGGATACAAAACTCAATTACATCTCCTCCTTCCTTGCCCCACTTTTGAACTTACCTTCTAAAGAAATTGCTTCCTTCCAAAAGAATAGTCATTCTAGTTCATTGGGTTTAACAATGAGGCCCACAGCATTAAGAGCTTAATTGTAGGGATTCCCAGGTCAGAATTTCCATTAGTAATAAAGTCAATTTGACATTTACAGCTCCTTCTCGAGGCTGTTTATAATGCTTTTCTTCAGCAGCTGAATCAGAGCTTGTAAAACAGGTTAATTTGCAAAAAAGAAAGATGGTGTACATTTTTTCTAAATTAGGTCTATTGATGTTGCTTTTGAGTGTTTTTTTCCCCCTTGGTTTCTAAATATGCTTTGAATTACTTTTCCCTTAATTTTCTTTAGGAATTGAACTTTAACTTGCTATGTTAAGGTTGTCATATACTTTCTATCATATAAAACCCACATTTGAGTACTTATCAGAGAATTCAAATAACTTGGAAGGGGTGCTGTGGCTCAAGTAGTAGAGCACTCGCCTTGAGCAGAAGAGCTCAGGGACAGCGCCCAGGCCCAGAGTTGAAGCCCCATGACTGACCAAAAAAAAAAAAAGAAAAAATTAAATAACGTAATTGAATTGTTTTCCCAGGAGAATGGTCCCCCAAGATCAGTGTGTTGTGCATGAGAATCGGGGTGGGGGGGGCAGAGGGACGGGGGGAAGCCCTGGATTCTTGGGCATCACTTGGCTTGGGAGTTGGTTGCTTTGAGGAGCATGCTGGCTAGCTCTGCTGTGAGGGGGTGGAGCCATGGTGGACACTGAGGCCAGCCATGTGCAACTGTGTTGTGAGTTACCAGAGGTGGTAGCTCAGGGGGGCCACAGTTACTCCTGATGTTTACTGGTAGTCAGCCAAGTGGGTTGGGTTTGAGTGTTCTAAGCACAGTTGAAGGAAAATATACCTTATAAAAATTATTTGACAGGATTCTATTTTTTTCTTAATTTTTAAAATTATTATTAAAGGTGATGTACAGAGGGGTTACAGTTACATAAGTCAGGTAAAGAGTACATTTCTTTTTTTTCTTTTCCTCTTTTATCCTGGGGCTTGAACTCAGGGCCTCGGTGCTGTCCCTGAGCTCTTTTTGCTTAAGGGTCATATCTCAGCCTTCTGAGTAACTAGGATTACAGGTGTGAGCCATCAGTGCTCAGCAAGAGTACATTTCTTGCCAGGCAAGTGTAAGGCAAGTGCTCTACCACTGAGCCACCTTCCCAGCCCAAGAGTACATTTCTTTCTGGACAGTGTCACCCCTTCCCTTGATTTTGTGGCAATAATTGGGCTTGAACTCAGGGCCTTGTGCTTACTTGACTGGTGCTCTGTTACTTGAACCATGCCTCTAGTTCATCTTTTATTGTTAGTTGATTAGAGATGGAGTCCATAGGACTATTCTGCCTAGGCTGGCTTCCACCTGTAATCCTCCAGATACCAAGCTCCTGAATAGCTAATAGTACAGGTGTGAGTCACCTGTTTTCTTTGACTTTGCGATACTAAGTTTTCTTTTTACCCCATACTTAGTGTTTTCCAATATCACAACTTATAAGAAGGTATTATTTACTCCTCTCTCTCTCTTTTTAAAAGATTCTCACTCTGTAACAGCCCTGGCTGGCTCCAGTCTTATCATCCTCCTGCTTCAGTCTCCTGAGTGCCAAGATCACAGGTGTACCCCACCACATTCGGCTTATTTTTTTTTTGCCAGTCATGGAGCTTGAACTCAGGGCCTGGGCCCTGTTCCTGAGCTTCTTTTGCTCAAGGCTAGCACTCTACCATTTCAGCCACAGCACCACTTCTGGCTTTTTCTGTGTATGTGATACTGAGGAATCGAACCCAGGGATTTCATGCATGTTAGGCCCTGGGCTGTTTTTTTTTTTTTTTCTCTATATAAGTAATAAGAAAAATGAAAGGTATGTAATAAAAAGAATACTACTTTTAGTTTACCATTTTTAGTTTCATCTTAGCATTTTAGCAAAATTTCATTGTGTCTTCAAAATTACATGGGAGCATAGTGGACATAGGTTTTCTTCTCCACCTAGTTCTATATTGAGTATGCTTCCTGCTAATCATGCACTTCTGTATCAAGCCCATCAGCTTGCTTTTTAAAAGTATTTAGGCAGAATCAGAATGAGTTGAGACAGGTTGCATTTTGTTTTGTTTCTCTTGAATAATTTCCAGTCACCATAGAAAGAGTTAGCGAGTTGCTGTGATCTGGTTTAGTGTTTCCTCACACACTGTGGGACACCAAGGCTTTCTGACCCAGTTTGCTAAAAGCAAACTAGAGAGCTTTGATCTAAACAGGTCTCACCATTCTAATTACTTTCATGATTGTTTTCAAGAAGAGAGTTGACATGGAGCCCTAAGTTCTCTGCCCCTAGGTAGCAGGTTAAGAGTGCTAAGAACCTAGACTGCAAAATCCTTGCTGTGGGAGAGAATTACTTCCTTTGTTGGGACTCTTAGCACTCTATCATCTTGTTATACCTGCAGAGCAGAATCTGCCTCCTTCCACCAGAGAACTGATAGTAAGATGCTTTATATGAATTTAGGGATCTGTGTAGCCAGAATGACCAAAGGTTCATCTTCTTGATTGGACTGGGACTGGCCTTGTCCAGGGCTGGCAGCGCTGGCCAGCTGATCTTCCCGGCTCCCGTCCTCCATCAGCTGCTCTCTCATCCTTTTGTCCCACTGAGCTTTGGCTCAGTCTTCCTTTTTCTGTGGAAAAGTGGATCAGAGAATGTTACTTTAACATTTTCAATTCATGTTTCGAACTGGGTCATATGGTCCAAATACAGAAGATAGAGCTTTCCAACCCCTCCCTTGGTCTCAGCTCTGCCTTCCCCTTTGTAGAGGGGCCTAGAAATTTAAGTTGCAGACTACAAGATTTGAGGTCATATCTAATCCAAGGACAGAGGCCTTTAAATTCAACTCCCTGAAATCCAGACTCTTGCTCTTGATTAATTATATTATTGTGATGGCAGTGGCGGTGTTTGTTTTGTCTGGTTATGTTCTTACTAGTTTTGCATCTGTGTTTCTGTGCTCTGTTTCTGGCAGGTACCACAAGAGCCAGGCCATCTATTTGGAGTCAAAGGACAACCAGAAACTGAGCTGTGTGATCAGCTCTGTTGGAGCCAATGAGGTAGGAACCAAATATCCTCTGTGGAAAGCAAGATGTGCCCTGTGAAGTGTGAGAAGTAGGACAGCCCTGAAGTAAAGTGTCACTGAGGAAGTGGGTCTTGTCTTCTGTGAGTTACCCTGGAGGCAGCACTTGGAGGCACTCAGGGCCAGCCTGAAAGTCCCTGCATTTGCTTGCAGGCCATCCATGCTGAGTCTTGGTGAACTCCTTATGCAGTCACTGATGTGGGAGCCAGAGAGACTTAGAAGGCTTGCCTGAGTCTGTGCAGTCACCTCTTGCTGAGGGAGGAGTTCCCCTGTGGAACACACTCTTTCTTTTAGCCTGTCCCTGAGTACTATCAGGCTTGCTTCTTGCTGTGAGGATTTAATGCTGTATTTGGTACAAGGTCCCGCACTGAATAAGTGCTTGGTAAATAGGTGCTGGTCCAACCAGCATTGACTCCCTTGTCTGCTCCCTTTCTGACCCTATGTATGCTGTGCTGGCTGTGAACCATGAATTGCTGGGTTCATGCCTCTGGGGCTTGGTCTCCTGGTCCTCCTGCAGTATGGGGCCTGTTGTCAAGTTGCTCAGAGTTCTAGCAGCCAGTGAGGTCCCTGCGCTGTGAGTTCTCCACTGGCTGGCCCCTTCACCATGAGGATGTCAGCAATGTCTAACTTGCATTGTTAGGAGTTAAAAGTTTAAAACTTCAGTAGCTGGACTGACTGGATCTTTTTTATCAGTTCACAAATGTCTGCAAAGAAATTGATTTTTATGTGTCTCCCTCGGTAAGTTATTCGTGCCAGTGAGCAGTAAATCTAATGAAACTGGATTATGAAATATAACTTAAGCCTCTTGTAGTCTCTCAGCTTCCTGAATTGAAAATGCCCTCAAATGTGACTAGTTTGCAAATTGGTTGTTTACTTAAAAGTTACAGAGAGCCTTGGAGACAAATGACATTATTCCCTGAGTTCTGGATCTGTGAGTCTCCTCCAGCCAAGCCAGAACCAAGAGGGACCCCACAGAAACACCTAGTGTCCTCAGCAAGGAGGTACTGCGTTTTCATGATGGAGCGTCAGTACCTGGCTGTGGGCACTGCTTCTTAAAACCATGTGACTTCGTAGTCTCAGCTTCAGAACCATTATTTTCCTGTCTGACACCTCAAGGAAATCAGACACGCATATCCAGTCCTGGCACCCCATTGCAGATTGTCATGATGGATATGAATCGGTCTGAGGAGGAAGGGCTGATGGTTTTAGACTCTTCAAGGGTAGAGGCCCCAGCACTGCTGGTGACTTCCTGATTTGGCCTATCTATGGGTTAGTTTTCAGTTTTAACATGGATCCTTAAGGCTTTCAGAGGCTTATCTTCATGTGAGATCCTTAACTTGCTGCGTGTGTGTGTGTGTGTGTGCGTGTGTGCGTGTGTGCGTGCGTGCGTGCGTGCGTGCGTGCGTGCGTGCGCGCGTGCGCGCGCGCGCGCATGCATGTGTGTGTGTGTACGTGCGCGTGCGTGTTCCCGTGAGCGCCAGTCCTAGTCCTGGGGCTTATACTCAGGACCTACATGCTGTCCATGAATTCCTTTTGCTTAAGAATAGCACTCTACTACTTGAGCTACAGCTTCACTTCCATTACTTTTTGGATCTAGTTTTTTGGAGATAAGGATTTCATGGACTTTCTTACTCAGACTAGCTTCAAACTCTGATCCTCAGATCTCAGCCTCCTAAGTGGGATTACAGAAGTGAGAAATGCCCAACCCTTGTGTCATTTTTAAACCACTGTTGTTGACTTTTTAAGTCTCTTTTGCTAAATAATCACATAGAAGAAATGGAGATGAAACTGAGAATAAGCTTTTGTAAAACCTAAAAACTGAGTTGGGAGGAGGAGATGTTTCTGGAAGCCTGTTTATATAAGTTTCCAGCCCTTTTACAACATTCTGCTTGCAGCCTGTTACAGAGAGCAGGTGAGTCAGGGATGCTTTAGGGGGAGGAACAAGGGACTTGGATGTCAGGTACCAGCACCACAGGGACACAAAGAGCTGTGGCCTTGCTGACCTTGACCTCTTCTGTAGAGCAGAGCAAGCCATGACAGGTAGTCCATACTTTATAGTGCTGCCCGGTACACAGCATAGTGTCTGGGGTATGGTGGAACCCTGAACTCCAGTCCTGGCCTAGGATGCTACTTGCTGGTGTGCTTGTTGACTCTGGCAGTCCTGTGTTGCCTAGTGTACTCTGTTCTGCAGAAGGATGTGTCTGAGCCACCTGTCCATTTGTGGTGGGGAGGAAGGCTGAGCCTATAGGCTTTCAACTCCCATCAGCATCAGCTCTTTTGGTGGGGGATGTGGGGAGGGCAACTGCCACAGTATTAAAAGGCTGTATGACTTGGAAGTTCCTTGAGGAAAGGAACCTATTCCCAGATTTGATTGGAAAGGTGATGTTCATAAGTATGTCTCTAGATCTCTGTGCTGCCTGTTGTCTCGTCAGGGATGTGGGAAGGAAGGATGGGAGAGCAGGTGCAGGCTCACATCTTTTTCCTGCAGCAGCGAGCCTTGAGTGTCTTGTGGAGACAGGCTGTCCAGGCAAAGGGGACCCGCTTTCTGGTCATACCTGGCCCATGTAGATACTCTCCTGTCTGGGCAATTTGCCTATCAGTGTTGAGCCTCTCTCATCTTGTTCCCTCTGCTGCCCCCACAGATCTGGGTGAGAAAGACCAGCGACAGCACCAAGATGAGGATCTACCTGGGCCAGCTTCAGCGCGGGCTCTTTGTGATCCGCCGGCGGTCAGCGGCTTGACTTTCTGCAGCGTCTCTTCTCCCCAGACCCTTTTTCTGGAGTGGTTTTCATTTTGGTTTGTTTTCTTAATAGAAAATTCTTAACTTACCGGGAATAGCTACTTCCTTGGAATGGAGGACACTTGCGGATCCTGCCAGGCAGGCTGTGGCTGGCCACTTCCGTCCCTGCCACTCCTCCCTGCCTCGGCCTCCTCCAGCGTCAGGCACCACGGGACCCTTACTGTCAGGAGTACTTGGGGGTTTGATTTACGTTATTTGTATTTCTTTATTTTGTGCTTATACTTTGACTTTTTGTTCAAACCTTGAGCTTGAAGGGAGAGCTGTTTTCCTTACCCTTACGTCTTTCTATCATGAAGACGAGCTGGAAGGAATCCACTGAATGGTGTATTTCCCTGTTTGCATCTGATGAGTGGATGGTACATCTCCTTCCCTTGTTGGGCCCTACTCACTGTGGCCCCAGAAGCCTGGGGCAAAGGACCAGGCAGAAGGAGATTGGTTTTCCTGGCTCTTGGCCTTCTCAGAGAAACAAATGCTTGTGTAACAGCTAGCACATGCCATATATTCCACTGGCTGTCCGGAGACTGTGCATCTAAGTAATTGGGACTGGGGAGCTGACATTTTGTATCCCTAACATGCTGAAGTTACCATATTTTAAATATTATTTAATGCACGTGATTTATTCAAACATGTCTGCTCCTCCTCAGGCTAGAACAAGAGGCAGTAATTTCCAGTTTTCATTTGTAATTCTTTTCTCTCCCCAGTTCCCAGATAGCTAGAAATGTTGCATACCTCGGACCAAGCGTCTAAGTATGCTCTAGTTAGCGGGGCAGCGAGGCTGGTAGTGCAGTAGTTGGGGATCTCTAGACTCCTTTATAAGTCAGGGTCACTGGTGCTGATGCCATGGCTGGGTGTCCCTCTGTCGGACACATAATTCACTGGGAGATAGGGCTCTGCACATGACTGGATGCAGCTAGAGGATAAAGAATCTGTTGTCACACAGCTGTTAGTACCTCTCTGGGCACCTTAGGACATCCTTGTAGTATTCCTATTGGTCAGGCCCTTGGATGCCATTGTTGTCTCGTACTGTACAGAGCCTACAGCAAGTTGTGGTGACAAGTGATTTGCTGACTCCTAAGTTCTGGCTTCCACAGAGACCAAACCTTTCTGATTGGTAAAGACTTGTACAGATAGGTTTTCATTTTAATTTATGCTTTCATTTTCTTCCTGGTGTTGGCAGGATAAATGATGTTGTTTATCAGAAGTTGTCTAGGTGTTCCCTCTATTTCTTCCCTGCCCCTCCCCCATTGTTACCATGTTTACCACAGTGTACCATGACTGTGGTAAGCAGAGGCTCCTCCCCTCTTGACAGTGCTTGGTGGCCCAGGCTGTGATTGAGGATGTCTCTTGCCACTGGCATATGTAATGTTGCTTGCCAGGGTGCTGCGGTGGGAACTTAGTTAAATATGTTTAGTATGTTTTGCCATCCGAGGTTTTAAGAGAGATTTCAACCTGTCACCTCCCTTGTCTTCCCACACAGTACATTAAAGTGTGTTGTGGCTAGGGTCCCATCCACGGTCACAGGGTCTGCGGTAAAGCAGTGGCATGTTGCCTTCTGTTCTTCACTTGTCTGAGTGCAGCCTTGTGTTTTGGTGAAGTCACCCTCGGCCTGAGGGCTGGGGTGTGGCCACTGCCACCCTCTCAGTACCCTCAGAAGCCTCAGTTGTGACCCAGTAAGAGGAGGGGAAATGCAGTCTCAGGACAAACCACAGTGAATTCCCTCACCCTGAGGTAGGAATACAGCAGCCAAGAGGAGAGGCCTGTGAGTGGATATGGTGGTTGTCTGTGAGGATGGAACACAGCTGGAGGGAATTCAGACAGACTCCTAGAGAAGAGGCTATAGGGCTGTTCTTACCCCACAAGCTGAGAACCCTTGCAGTAAGCCTTCAAATCAGGTGAAGCCCCAGATTCAACTGTGTCAAGCAAGGTGGCCTTTGGAAAAATCAGTCCAGACAAGTCTGATCAAGAACCTGCTGGTTGGTTGGTGTGGCTGAAATCCTAGCTACTTGAGTTGGAGAGCGGTGGGGTAAGGCCAGCCTGGGCAGAAGTTAAACTCCATCACAATCAGTAAAGCTGTGAGTAACGGCATGTATCTGTCACCCCAGCTACCTAGGAGGCATACATAATAGCATCACTGTCCAGGCTGGCCTGGGCAAAAACGTTAAGACCCTATTAAAGAAAGAAAGCAAAAAAAAAAGATGAAGGGCATGGCACAAGTTAGATCCCTTGCCTAACAAGGTTCAGGTCCCTGAGTTCAAATCCCAGTACTGCCAAAAAAACATGCACACATTTTCTGTGAGCCATGCCTCCAAGTACCACATCCAGTGTTCGTTGGGGATGTTGTGTGTCCTCTCTCAAGCCAGGGTCTTTGTGAACAGTTTGCAGACCGGTTTCTGTAGCTGTACAATGCCAGGGCATTTCTATTCATTTGTATGCCAGTGTTTTGGATGTCTTAACTACCTACCTTAAAAGTTTTCTTTTTGAACTTCTCACTGGGTAAGAGCCTCACCACTGATCTATGAATGGAGCCTCATGAATTTGTGTAGGAGGTCCTGTGTCAGTGCTGGGTGGCTTTTCTAAGTGAAATAAGGAGGGGCAGGGTTGGGGTAAGGGTCACTGCTTTTTTTAACCTGACTGGTGTGGGGGTGGGGAATCTTCTTATCTACAGTATTTTTCTTTTAAGCCTTGAATTTTTTGCTAAGTAATTTCCTCCTTATTTAAAAATTTTGTCTTTATCTGGGAATTTGAAATCTCAGTATTTAGTGCATCACCAGTTTTTCCAAAGAGTCTGAACCATTTTAATGCCAGAACCTGGTAAATCTGCAGCCATTTCAAGCAGCTGGTGAGCTTTTTTATACATTTTAGGCTTGTTACCATTAAATGTCTCGAAAGGTGAATGTAAATTGTAAAAAAGAATAGGGTTTTTGTTTGTTTGTTTGTTTTAAATAAACTTTCCAAGAGAAACAATCCAAGGCTTGTTGTCTCCATGGACTTGATAAGTGATGGAATGAGGTTGGGTTTTCCTTTCATTGATGAAGCTGGGGGAGAGGGAGGGGTGGACTAGACATGGGCTCATTACCAGGGTAGAGTCAGATAGAGTAGCATGCCTGAAAGCCTAATACTCAATCCCCTAGGTTTATAAAGAGCAGTTGCAAAGGTAATGCGCTGTGTAATTGTTGGAGATGATGAAAGAATCTAGTGAATAATGTGGAAATGTAATTGCCAGTGGAGAAGAGAAAGTAAACTCGGGACTCATCCTGTTTTTGTCTGGCGTGCATCGTGAGGTGGTTCTCTTGGTCTTGAGAGCACAGCCATCCCTGGGTTGAGGACAAGGCTGCCCTTGCTGACACACGGCCCTCCCTCCTGGGCCTACCCAGTCCAGCTGTGATGATGCGGGGGGGGGGGGGGGGGGGGGTGGGAGGAGAGGGAGGGGCCGGCTAGATGTCTGTGTTACACATTAGGGCAGTGGGGAGCAGTGGTGTCTACAAGCAGTGCACAGACCTGAGCTGACATTGATAAAATGTCCCAAGGTGAGTTCATTCCTGTCACTTGGCACCTGGATTAAAGTGATATTAGAAGGATTCCCCCCCCCCGGCTTCTTTTAAGTTCTTCTCGCCCCAACTAGTTTTCTTTTCCTCCTAGAATTGCTGTAGCTATGTCTGCAATGTTCCCCAAATACTCATGATGGTGGCTTAGTGCCCAGCTGGGGTGCAGTTGGGAGTTGTGTGTGTCCTGGAGGGGCATCCATCCCAGGGCTGGCCCAGCCCTGCTTCCTGCCCTCTGCCCGGTGAGCAGCTTGTTCTACTGGAGCTCCTGGTTCTGATGGAATGCAGCACCAAAAAGCAGCTGACCTCAAGCTATAAAACCTTTGAACCTGAACTTTCAAGCTTTTTTTTTTTTTGCCAGTTCTGGGGCTTGAACTCAGGGCCTAGGCATTCCCCCTGAGCTGCTTTTGTGCAAGGCTAGCACTCAACCACTTGAGCCACATCTCCACTTGTGGCTTTTTCTGTTTATGTGGTACTGAGGGATCAAACCCAGGGCTTCATGCATGCTAGGCAAGCTGTCTACCACTAAGCCACATTTTCAGCCCCTCAAGTCTTTTTTAAGTTCTCACAGATACTTTGTTACAGTAATGGAAGGTTAATTATCACATGGTTTCTTTCGCAGTTTTAGAAGAGCCAGGTACCTGGAACTGATGAGGGATTGGAGCTGTGTAGCTAAACAAGAGGTCAAGCCTCGCAGACTCCTGTATGTTGTCCTAGCCCCTCCTTTTCCTTGTTTCCAATGGGAAACAGACCCACCTTGCCCTGTGCACTTCATATATACCAGATCCTCATTTTGGGGCCTGTATAGCCAAGTAATCCTACCTACATGGGAGGCTGAGGCAGAAGGGTCCCACATTTTAGGGCCCAGCTTGGGTTATGTAGTGAGACCTTACCTCAATGACTACAAAAAATGGAAAGGGCTGGGAAGGTGGCTCAGTGGTAGAGGGCTGGCCTTGCATGCATGAGGCCCTGAGTTCGAATCCTCAGCACCACATAAGCAGAAAAAGCTGGAAGTGGTGCTATAGCTTTAGTGGTAGAGCACTAGCCTTAAGCTGAAGAGCTGAGGGACAGCGCCCAGGCCCAGAGTCTAGGCCCTACAACCTACAAAAAAAAAAAAAACAACAACAAAAAAACGGGGGTGGGGGGTGGGGGGAGGGGGAAGAAGGGCACTAGACAGAATGAAGCATAGTCACTATTTCACACTTTGGATATAATGTGAGATTTACATTAGCTACAGGAATTTAGGTCTTTTCCAGAATAGATTCTCCCCCCGCCCCCTCCACTGCCACTGATTATTAAGAGAAAAAGAGTAGGTATGCTTGTGTTCAGGAGGCTTACTAGATGAGACACAGCATCAGAAACGAGATGCTTAATCCCTTTACCCATTTTCTCTAATCTCTAATCTTTTATTTCAAAGAAGATTCAGATCTATAAAATATGGGAAGGCCAGCAACTAGAATCTTAATGATTCTGCCCTTGATTTCTCAGCAGCTGGAGACTTGGCAGTGTGTTCTGTTTCTTCTGTAGGGTGGCCTTGGGTCTGTTGGTATTTGCCTCTAAATGCTGTGGGACAGGCAAGGGGTTAAAATAAATGACAGCCCAGAGCCTTTCCAAAGCAGTGTTCCCAGCCCTGTGGGATCTGCAGCACAGATCACTGCAGAGCGGAAGTCAGAGGACACTCCAGGCTAGCAAGCCCCTCTCTGTAGCTGATAAGACTAGCAGCTGATAAGATTAGCCCCTCTATTTACCCACCAGTTCTTTTCATAAACAAATGTTCTAACCAGCTTAGCTTTGGACATCATAATTTCTGTGGCTCCCAATTTGAATGTCTATTAATTACCCCCTCCAGAGTGTGTGTGTGTGTGACAGTGACAATCTCAGTAGTAGCACATATAAGCACCTACTATGTGTGATTGGTTAAGTCTTGATAGCACACCTCAGTGGATTGAGAGAGGCCTAAGAGATTTGTAAAACAAACTTCAGGGTATGCCAGGATGCTCCTAGAGATGATTAGATCAGAGTGCTCTAACCTAATGAATGGTTTAATCCACTGATGGCTTAAAAGTTTTGAGGGGGTGGATGTGTGAGAGGTGAGGTCTGACTGGAGGAAGGTTGTTAGGAGCGTGGCCTCTGGCTCTGTATGTTGTCCTAGCCCCTCCTTTGTGTGGTTTGACTCTGCTTCCTTTCTGCCATAATGTGAGCTGCTCCACTATGCCCCTTCCCCTGCCATAATGGGCTGAAGCCGGGAGCCTAGATAACACCTCTTGTTTTTGTCACAAGCAAGAGAAGGTCTTAACAGCTATGTGCCAAGTATTTTGCCTATATGAATGAATGCAATCCTTGTAACAATCCTATGGCTAGGTACTATTGTACTTTCTAATTTTGTAGTTGAAGACATAGAGAAACAGCTTAAGTAATTTTGTCAGGATCACAGGAGCTAGTAAATGGCAATCTGGGATGCTAGTCCCCGGCCACCTTCACCATGCTGTTCTGTGATGTGTGCATAGCTCAGGGCTGAAGGCAGTGTCTGCTCAGTCTGCAGAGACTGTCCCTGTCGCTGCTGATGCTGTTTGTCTACTATCTGTACTTGGATGCTGTTCTGAATGCCAGATCCTAAGGGACCAGAACAATTTCAGAAAGCTTTAGAGATCATGCTAAAGATTCAGCTCCTGCAGAGGGGGTTGTGATTGTGCAAGGGACCGAGTGGGGAAGGGTTATGAAGTCCCAAGTGCAAGCACAGCAGGAAAATGACTTACCCAGTTTTGTCTGCTGTGGATGAGGGACTCCCATTTATTTGCCAACCCTGATTTACTGTTCATTTTGATAAAACAACAGGTCTAGCAATGTCAAACCACTCAACTGAGGGCATACGCTGGTGACAGGCAATACCCCTGCTAGGTAGGGCCAATAGCACCCAGCTCTGTGCTGTGATGCACATGGCATTTCCCATCTGATGTCTTTGGCCCATCGGTGGCTCTGTGGTTTCTTCTCAGCCTCTGTTGTTTCTAAAGAGGAGGTGATGGAACCCTGGGTCATGATCCAGCCACTCTTCAACACTGGGGCCTTTACTTAAAATTTCAATGTGTTTTGCTGTTAGGGAGACTTTCATATTGCAAGTCATGCATCCCAAGAACCTCACCAGCCCAGGCAGGCTTCCTCTTCCATAAGGAGAGGAGAATTGTCCCTTCTCCATAAAGCTGAGGGCTTGCTTTATTGTGGACAAAACACTTCAAAGTGGTATTTGGGATGCAACTCCTTAGTACGTCTTTATTGTTTCCATTATCCTTGGAGCAGAATCCCCACCCTAGAGGACCCTAGAAAACTGCTCTAATCCCAGACAAGACAGGGACTCCTTGCCATGATCATTTTAGGACCCCTGCAATCAGTTGTTTGAGATGCTTTCTTCTACTTGCAATGGTCAATTGTGAGCTTGAGGAATGAATTAGTTATTGCACTTGACCCAAGTGACATTTATTGAATTTGACATCTTAGAAAGTGTTTGAGGTTCTTTTGGGTCGGGAAGATTTGGAAATCAGCAGGCTGCTTAAGAGCAACATCAACAGCTAGGATTGGGAGAACTTTGCAGAAGAAATGGCTTGATGAGTGAGCAGTCGTGTGTGTGTGTGTGTGTGTGTGTGTGTGTGTGTGTGTGTTAGTACTGGGGCTTGAGCTCAGGGACTGGGCACTGACCTTTAGCTTTTTTGCTCATGGCTGGCACTCTTCCACTTGAGCCACTCTTCCTCCTCCAGCTTTCTTCTGGTTAATTGGAGATAAAGGATCTCATGGACTTCACTGCCCAGGAACTATGATTCTCAGATCTCTACCTCCTGAGTAATTAGGATTACAGGTATACTTACTGCACAGCTGAGTGGGACTGTGTGTGTGTGTGTGTGTGTGTGTGTGTGTGTGTGTGTGTGTGTGTGTGTGTGTGTGTGTGTGTGTAGCAGTATAGTTGGGTGAATGAACTTTGAACCTGAAAGTCAGCTTACTCCCTGCTAGTACCTTTGTCCTTCCATTGTACTTGCCTTCCTTTTTTTCTCTCCCCAGTCCACCCATTCCCCTCCCGCCTCCCTTTTATATCGCTAGTGCAGCGGCTCATGGCAGTCCTGCAGTAGCGCTTTCCAATTTCACACTTACATGCTCCTGAAAGTACTCACAAACTAACTCGCATGTAAAACCAATAAAGGGAAGCAGCACACATTCCTGTTAGATAGCCGTTTGGTTTGACTTGCTTTCTTCTATTCTGATTGCACCTCTTCTCTCAAAAATGGTTGCTCCACCAGTAGTGGAGCCCTGTATAGTGCATTAGTACCAGGAATGAACAACGGCTCTTTATTGAGCACTGACAGTATGCCTGGGGAAGGTGCTATTTTTGTACATTGCTTATTTATCCCATGCCACCCTATGTCTGGGTTTTGTTTGTTTGA